TGTGTCTTAGTATGGGTGTCAATCTTTAATCCATTTAATTCCTACACTCACATCATTCTGAGTATGATTAGAATCAAATCATCTAGACAATTAGAGAAGAATTCAAATTAACCGACGAGTTCTTAAAGCAATGAAAAAACCTTTTTTGATAAACTCTGCTCGCTCGGACATCCATTTAATTGATACCATAACTTTATTTGGAGGTTGTGAGTTACAGTAATGTATATTATATGTTAGCAACAGTTATTCCATGTCATGCACATGAATCACACAATTCAAAGTTACTTTGACAAAAATCATCATATTCACCAGCAAGTAGTACTTTTCTATTAGTTAATAAGGAAGCTGTGTGTGATATTCGTGCCTATATCATACTGCCAGTATCAAGCCATTCTAAAAGGGTATGAGCGGTTCAGAGAAAGTTTTACGCTTTTCATAAGGGGTATTTTTAACTGACGTGAGTAGAACCAAACAGATTAAGAAAGTTTTATTTCCTCAATTAACATCTAAGTGTAACGGTATATTCTCTTTTTTTTGACTTCGTTTCGAATTATTGAAGAAAACATTATAACACTTGACAGTAAGAAGTAATGTCTAGATGTTAAAGATAAGAGATACCTGATTTGACAGCGCTAGACGATTAAAATCTAGTTAGTTCTTAGCTGAACTACCAATCAATATGAAAGACTTCTTATTCAGACATAGTAAAGACACCAAATCATTCTGATTGAAAAAAATATGTTTACGATCCAAAGAGAAAAGAGTGGACTTGAAATAGGAAAATACATCAAATTATTTCAAAGTAGCCTACTGGAACTATAGGTTCAAAGTAACTTCAAATCATAAATGAACAAGCCTTTTATGTGAGTTTAACAATAGCTTCAAATGAATAAAGCATAGATATGGATTGACATCAGTTCTTATAAGTCACTTCTTCGTTTTTAGTTGTATACCACACGTAAGAGTTTATCAAATACAGTGTGCACTCCAAATGTTTTCTGTCAGTTCTGTAAACCGATTTTCATGGAGTGACTTTCATGTGGTTTGTCCACTTATTGTCACCGCAGGGTGAATATAAGTGTGGGTGTGAGTTTGCGGTGTGGGTGTGGGTGGGTGTGGCTGTGAATGTGGGTGTGGATGTGGGTGTGCGTGTGCGGGTATAGGTGTGACTGTGGGTGTGTGTATGGGGTGTGGCTGTGGGTGTGGGTGTGGGTGAGGGTGTGGGTGAGAGTGTGGGTGTGAATGTGGATGGGTGGGGTGTAGGTGTGTTTGTTTGGCGGTCGCTGTTTCTGGATGTTGATCTAAAAAGTGAATAAAGAGACCATCCACCCCAACACCCACACCCACACCCACACTCACACCCATACCCACACCCACACCCACACCCACACCCACACCCCACACTCCACACTCCACACCCACACCCACACCCACCCACACCCACACCCCACACTCCACACCCACACCCTCCTCCTGAACCACTGAAATCATTAATGTCAGGAACAACGCCTGAATCGAAGCATTTCTTGGATAACATTAGAAAATACAATTCCTGCTTTCAAATGACATCTTTTGACACGTCAGAGAAAGTGGCTGACCCAGGCTTCATGCCTACTTTCAGAGTTCAGGGTCAAGTATATCATCGCGTAGGATCTCTGCTGCCGTCTTCGAATGAAGAACATAAATTTCTTCAAATTTACTTCATGGGCGACGATCGAAAAGAAGTGCAACAACGTTGCAAAAACATGCCTGGCGTACGTCAAGACATTGTCGAGAAACTGCAGCAAATGGTTCATGAGCACCACATTTATGTTGATCTTTTCAACACTGCCCTTCAAAGAATGCCTACAGATCAATACAAGTTGCTTATTCGAGCAGACATGAAACCTGTTGGAGAGCATGCACGTCGTTTCAATGAGCCAGTGACAAATGAGGTGGCGGTTGTCATCGCTGGCAACGACTTTGAGAAACGAGATATTGTCTTGGAGAAGAAAAATGGCCAGTTACAGAGAGTATCTGAGACACACAGATCGTATGATGCCTTGCAATATCCTCTCATCTTTTGGAAAGGTGAGGATGGCTACCATTTTCTTATCGAACAGACTGATCCAACAACTGAAATGGCTGTCACTGGCAAAAAGGTGTCGGCTATGAGTTTTTATGCTTATAGAATTATGGTACGAAATGGTGCTGTCAATCATATCTTACAGTGCCGACAACTTTTCCATCAGTATGTGGTTGACATGTACGCAAAGATCGAAAGTGAAAGATTATCTTTTCTACGTTATAATCAAAAAAAAGCTTAGAGTGGATGAATACATTCACCTGAAAGATGCTATAGCCAATGATGGACGAGCTGACAATCTTGGTCAATTAGTGATTCTACCAGCAACTTTCACTGGAAGTCCCCGGCACATACATAAATATACACAAGACGCTATGACTTATGTAAGAAACCACGGAAGACCCGACCTCTTCATAACATTCACCTGCAATCCTAAGTGGCAAGAAATTCAAGCAGAATTAATGGAAGGTCAAGCTCCCTCTGATCGTCATGACCTATTAGCAAGAATGTTCAGACAAAAGCTCATTAAATTGGTCAACATTATTACCAAAAGCCATGTATTTGGGCTAACAAGATGCTGGATGTATTCTATTGAATGGCAAAAGAGAGGACTACCACATGCCCATATTTTGATATGGCTGAAGAACAAAATTAAAGCAGATCAAATAGATAGCGTAATCAGCGCAGAATTACCTGATCCTGAACGAGATCCTCGACTATTTGAAATAATTATCAAGACTATGATTTACGGTCCATGTGGAAGTATCAATCCAAACTCTCCGTGTATGGAAAACAAAAAGTGTACAAAAAGATATCCAAAACAACTTTTGCATGATACAGAAACTGGTGATGATGGATATCCATCGTATAGAAGAAGAAGTTCAGAAGATGGTGGTATCAAAGCCAAAATCAAAATGAGAATTAATAACTCCATTCAAGAAATCGAAATTGACAACAAGTGGGTTGTGCCATATTGTCCACTACTCTCTCGGGTCTTTCAAGCCCACATTAATGTGGAATATTGCAACTCGGTAAAATCAATCAAATACATCTGCAAATATGTCAACAAGGGCAGTGATCAGGCAGTGTTTGGTTTGAGAAGAGATGGAGCACCAGTTGATGAAATTAGTAACTACCAGTTAGGTAGACACATCAGTAGCAATGAGGCAGTCTGGCGAATCTTGGATTTTCCAATTCACTAGCGATATTCAACCGTTGTTCATTTGGCTGTTCATTTGGGAAATGGTGAATGCATTTATTTCACCAAAGATAATGTTCATGAGAAAGCTAATGAACCACCAAGAACAACACTAACAGCATTTTTCTTGCTCTGCCAGAAAGACGACTTTGCCAAAACGCTGTTGTACTGTGATGTTCCAAAATACGACACATGGAACGCGTCTGAAAAATTGTTTAAGCGACGTGTTCAAGGAACTGTTGTGCTTGGTCATCCAGACATTAGAGAAGGAGATGTGTTGGGTCGTGTTTACACTGTGCATCCTAATAATTTCGAATGCTTTTTCCTACGACTCTTACTTCATGTGGTCAGAGGCCCTACTTCATTTGAAGCTCTTCGAACTGTAAACGGTCAGATCTGTGCAACATTTCGTGAAGCATGTCAATTACATGGATTACTGGAAGATGATCAGCAATGGGATGCCACCATGTCCGAAGCAGCTGCAGCTCAATCGCCAGCAAGATTAAGAAATCTATTTGCTCTTATACTAGCTGTTTGTGGACCATCCAGTCCAAAACAATTATGGGAGTCGTACAAAGAAAGCCTGACTGAAGACATTCTGACAAATGCTCGCAGACAAAATCCTGGAATGAATTTGGATTATACACCAGATATGTTTAATCATGCACTGATTATTATTGAAAGTAAAGTTTTAGAGATGGGTGACGAAGAACTTGACAAATTAGAGCTCCCAACTCCTCAACGAAATTCGAGTGATCGATTAAACAGGGCAATGCTCAGAGAAACAAGTTTTGACGTGAAAGAGTTGGATGCTTATATAACAGCAAATGAGCCACTGTTGGTGCCGGATCAGAGAGCTGCATACAATGCGATTTCGGATCAGATCGAGAAGAAAGCTGGTGGAATAATCTTCCTTGATGCACCTGGTGGAACAGGGAAGACATTTGTCATTAATTTGTTATTGGCTAAAATCCGGCATCAGTCAAAGATTGCGATTGTGGTCGCCTCTTCCGGTATCGCTACTACGCTGCTTCACTGTGGTCGTACTGCGCACTCGACATTAAAGTTACCTCTTAAGTTTTTGGAAAATCAAACTCATGTCTGTAGTATTACCAAAGGAACTGGCAAAGCAAAGGTTCTGCAAGAATGTGAACTTATTGTATGGGACGAGTGCACAATGGCTCATATGTATGCATTAGAAGCTTTGAACCATACTTTACAGGATCTTCGTAACAATGGAAAGAATATGGGTGGAGTAGTTGTACTTATTGCTGGCGATTTTAGGCAAACATTACCAGTTATTCCAAAGGGTACCATGGCTGATGAGCTAAAAGCTTGCTTGAAATCTTCGTATCTTTGGAGACATGTTGTACCATTAAAACTCAGTACTAACATGAGAGTGCACTTACGAGGTGACGTATCTGCCGATCGTTTCGCTGAACAACTTCTCGCAATTGGAAATGGCAAAATACCTGCTGACCCAGTCAGTGGACTTATTAATATTTCAGACAACTTTTGCAATATCGTTGAATCAGTCGAAGAACTCAAGAATACAGTGTTTCCAAACATTCAAACTCAGTACAAGGATCACAAATGGTTATGTGAACGTGCTATTCTGGCTCCGAAAAACGTCAATGTAAATGCTATCAATCTACAAATACAGCAACAACTTCCTGGTGAAGCTATATCTTACAAATCAATTGATACAGTTAAAGATATCGACATGGTAGTTCAGTATCCAACTGAGTTTCTTAATTCACTCGAACCTTCTGGAATGCCACCACATAACTTGCGTCTGAAAATTGGATCATCTATTATGCTCCTAAGAAATCTGGATGCACCAAGATTATGTAATGGTACAAGGCTATGTGTCAAAACTCTAATGCCTCATGTAATCGAAGCAACGATCATGACAGGTTGTGCAAAAGGTGAAGATGTATTCATACCAAAAATACCTTTGCTCCCTTCTGATATACCATTCGAGTTTACACGACTTCAGTTTCCAGTACGGCTTGCCTTCGCAATGTCTATTAATAAGGCTCAAGGGCAATCACTTAAAGTTGCTGGTGTCAATTTAGAAACTCCTTGCTTTTCTCATGGTCAACTTTATGTGGCATGCTCGAGAGTAGGAACGGGAAAGAATTTGTATGTTTTTGCTCTAGATGGAAAAACGAAGAACATCGTGTACAATACAGCTTTACAATGAAAATTTCTATTGTCCTTTTTTTTTGCTTGGAAGAAGTTCATCAATAAAAATATAAAACAGAGAAAAGTCTATAGCGGCTTTTAATATGTTAAATATTAAAATTAAAAAAAGAAAAGATTCAAGTGTAGCTTATGATATTGCAGATGAATAGCTGTTGAGAACTGTGGCAACATCGTATTATCATCCGTGAGATATATGCTATCGTATCATCTCCATACACCGGGTACCTCCGCTAGTTGTATATATGGATGTCTTATTTGTGATCTTCGGATCATTAGAATAGAGTCTATATCTGCAATTAAGCCGTCTGATGAGATCCTTAAGCAAGGTCGAAATCGCGATAACGGTGTGCTTCTTGACTCACCCTCACACCCTCACCCTTAATTAAACTGCCTGATGAGTCGTTGAAAGTACGACGAAACCGGTCGTAGTATAATCTTATTTAAAACTCACATCCTCACCCCTCAATAATATTATTTCCAACCCTGTATATGGGTTCTACGAACTTTCCGGACACGCTAATACATATGCGTATCTCTACGACGAATATCTGATGTGTAATTACTTTGTGTAACTAAGGTGATAAAACAGGTAGCTTAACGGTAGAGCAGCCGACCGGTTATCGAAAGATGTGGGTTCGACTCCTGCTCTGCTCTTGTGATCCTTTTTATTCAGTCTTTCGTACTGTCTAAAGCATGTCAACTGTGGATATATTCTAACTACTGATACGAATATGATATCGTGGATAAGTGAGATGAACATAGATAATAATTCTTTTTAGAATTCTTCAATGCTTTCTCATACGATCCAAACTTATACTCTTAACTCACCCTCTAGTCACCCATCCTCTTTTCTTTTTTTGATTTGTTTTTTTTTGTTTGTTTCAATGTATGTGTGTTTGTGTGCGTTGGTTTTTTTTTTGTTTGAATATATGTATGTATTTTGATACGCAATTGTTTTCTTTCATTTTTTCATCTTTCCACTTCAAAAAATCAAAAAAAAACACACACAGGTCATATCGATGGCTTCTTCTCTTTGTCAGCGTCACAGCAAACGACAAGATGCAGCATCAGAAGCATTATGGTTCTCTTTATTGGATGAATTTGCTACTGTACAAAGACAGTTTCGAATGCAAAAAGAAAAGTTGAATTTAAATGTGGCTGCTTTAATGGAATTGATTTTACATCATTTAGTATGTTTTTTGCATTGCTTTGGTTTGTTTATATTGTGTTTGTTTTCAGATTTTATATTTTGATGAGCCCTATCATGTTATTTGTGATTTTATGTATCTTTCTGTTTTTGTTTTGATCTTATGAATTGTTTTTCTCTTTATGTATCTTTCTGTTTTCTTATTCATTATCAAAAAAACAAGAAAATTCAGGTTTCTAAGATTATGGCTCAAATGATGGAACATGTTACTCTTCCAGCATTCCTCAGGTATTGTTCTTTGTTTTTGTGGTTTGATTGCTTTCTTTTGCTTCTTTTCACTGTTTTTTTCCGTTGTGTTCATTTTTTTTCAGGAAAATCACGACGGATCATCAAGCAGATCTCTTTTCAGAGTTTCGAGAAACTTTACGAGTCATGTTGTGTACTTATACTTATGAAGAAAGCATTCTTTTTACTGGTACGTGTATGTGTGTGTGTTTCTCCCTGTCTCTGCGTGTGTGTATGTGTGTGTCGAATTTATCTTGCTCATTGTATTATTTTTTGAATTTTTTTTCTTCTTCGATTCGTACCTTCCTTACCCCATTATTTATTTCTCTCTCTCTCTCTCTCTCTTTACATCCAAAAAGCTCTTTTACGATGACACGTTTCGTTCTGTAGCACAACGTCAACGTCGTTCTGCTCGTGCGTTTACTCCCAAACATGAAAGTTGTGATTCTTGTAGGCGTTCGTTAAGCGATGAGTTGTTAATGGGTGATTTAGCCAAAGCCTTGACAGGACGATTGTTGATTTTCGATTGTGGTCATGCTTTTCATGAAATGTGTCTTGGTAAAATGGTTTTTTTCTGTTTTATTTTGTGGTGTTGCTGAATTGTTTTCTCGTTTTCTTATATTGTGTTTTTTTCCTTTATTATTTTCTTTTCTTTTTCCTTCCCCCCCCCCCCCCCCCAGGTCGAACACAAGATCGTTGTTTACTCTGTGCAACTAAATTTCACAAATCCAATTCGTCCCAGAAACAAGCTTCTCAGACTCTGCATAGCCACAATAGCAATAACAGCAACAACGCCAACAACAATAACAACAACAACAACAACAGTCACAGCAACAACAGCAAAGGGCATGATGAAACAGCGGCTTTGTCGTTGGATAATGAAGCAAAACAACAAGCGCAAGACGAGGCGGTGGGGTTGGACTTTCAAACCAAAGCAGCGGTCAAGAGATTGGAAATGGTAAGAACAATAAAAAGAACAAGTTCAAGAACCATGATTGAATGAATGAGTTTTTTTATGGTTTCGTTTTATTGAATGTTTTTCTTGTTTTCGGCACAGCTTTCTGAGAAACAAGTCGAATTCAAATCTCGTTTCAAGATTCTTGAAAACATCGCTCATCATCAGAACAACATAGATAATCTTTTGTGTAGGTAAACAAAATTTGTTTTTTCTCTTTTTCTTTTTATATTGCTTTCTTCATTTTTTCAGCAAGCAGATTGATTTTGTTTTGGTTGCCTTTGTTTTGCATTTCTTATTCCATCTTTCCTTTTTTTTTCTCTTTCTATTAAGAACTGTTCACACACAGAGGTCGCATTGGTACACTGTATCTGTCACCTGCTTCCATCTCGGAAGCGCTCCACACGATCAGTGCAAGAAAACCTGGATCTTTATCATCGGAAGCAGATTATATCACCAAGATGGAAGAGGTCGATATTCAGATGGAAACTTAATAAACAGGTTTTTGATTTTTGGGTTGAACAAAAACAAGGGCAAACAATACAAATGCAAACATGCACAAGTAAACAAAGGAGTGGAGAGGAGAATAGCATTGGTGCACTGTTACCGCAGGAAGACAGGTCAGTAAGAATTACGATCAGTGGCGCTCCAGTTGATAATAGCATTTTCTTTGTCATACAAAATGGGTCCACAATAAACAAACGTATCCCTACTTAAATTGTTCTTGGCACTGCGAATTTTTGGAAAGTGAACCAAACACTATTGAAAACGCCATGCGTTGCATAAGGCCACAAGCCGCCATGGCACATTGTTCATTCCATTGGCTGTATGCTAATTTTATTTTTCTCGTTGACTTCCCTGTTTTGCGAATTCAATCCAATAACTGTTAGGGCTTGGATTTGATCGGTCTCTTGTTGGTGCCTTGATTTCACTTGCATTTTTTGGTTTTTGTTAGGAGTGTACAGCTCACGCTCATATGAGCGCTCATGAACGTGAGCGTTACTTCTTTAACTTTAATATGTCCAAGATAAGAATTTTTTAATTACATTAAACTTTTATATTTCTCTATGTCATGTAAGAAATATACTGTATCTTTAACACCGTATTTACTCATTTTTTGAAACGTATTCAGGGTTACCATAAATAACTTTTCAAGGCCTCTTTAAAAGTACTATTAGTAACTTCCCAGAAGCTATCTCGGAATACGATTCGTAACGTTCTGGGGACTATCTGGAGGTACCATCACCGATTTTTCAGGGGCTATCTCGAGATACTATTAGTAACTTTTGAGGGCCTATCTCGGAGTCCCCTAAGCAACTTTTTGGAGGCTATCTAGGGATACCCTTAGTAACTATTTAGGGGCCATCTAAGGGTACCCTTAGCACAGGGTTCCCGATTGTTTTTGGTAGTGGGGAGGACGGAAAAATTTTGACAGAAAGTCGACAAAAATGTTTTTCCAAAACATTTTTCCTGAGAAATTTTTCTAAAAAAGCAGTGATCCCCAAGTGGTGGGGGGTAGCTTTGCGAATCCTAGTTTTTCAAAAAGTCTGATCATCAGGCAGGGGGTGGGGGTAGCTTCACAAAGGCCCCCTTAGAGGTGAGTAATATCCTGGAGAAAGTTCTTTACCAAAAAAAGCATATTTTCTGAATATGACCCTGTGATCAGTCGGGTCCCATGGATGACTTTTTTTTTAGAAGCAGGTTTTGATATTTTATTTGGCAGAAAGCGTTCCGATTTGTGGGGGGGGGGGGGG